TTGCCATGGCGTTAATATCGGATGGTTTTCATCCGCTTTGCCTGCACTATTGTCAAATGGCACTCCACTTGCATCCGGCCCATTGTCCTATGAAGAATTGTCATGGATTGGTTCTATGAGCAGTCTTGGGGCCATTTTTGGAACATTCATAACTGGACTTCTATCGATGTTGTACGGTTCCAAAAGAACGATAGTGTTCCTAGCGTTTCCCGTGATCACATTCTGGGTGCTTATTCATTTCGCTAATACATTTTACGATATTTTATTGGCGAGATTCATTACTGGTTTGACAGGAGGCGGTTTCTCGTCAGGAGCTGTTCTATTTATATCGGAAATATCGAATGACAAGTATGTATTTCTAAAATAATACTTTGGAATATGAAAATCTTATGAGTTGCATGATTTCAGTGTTCGTGGCCGTCTTGGCTCGCTGGTTTCGTTGGCTAGAAACATCGGTGTATTGATGGCTTACACTGGAGGTGTTTTGATCGAATACGAACACAGGCCGTATATTTTCATCTTGCTTCCTATATCTTACTTGATTATGGTATACTTTTTACCAGACACTCCTCAATACCATCTAAAAATGGACGATTTTGAGGCAAGTTGTGATTGTGTTTTAGAAAAATGGAGCTAAGAGATAAACTTTTGGATGCAGGGTGCTGAAAAATCATTGATGTACTACAAAGGATGTACGGGCGAGACTGATCGAGAAAAATCTCTGCTGAAGACTGAATTCGATAGGATGAAACTGTTGGAAGAAGAGCGAAAAAATGGTTCAACCATGCAATTAAACGATTTCTGCAATTGGTCGGCGTTCAAAGGAGTTGCAACGTGTGTGGCAATGTCATGGTTCACCCAAGTGACGGTTTTAATGTACTATGCATCGTTGATTTTCAAACTTTCCGGCTCGGTGTTCAGCGTTGACGTATCAGCCATCATTTTGGCAATTGTTCAAATCATCGGTGGACTCACATCAACTCAATTTGGTGATACTTTTGGAAGAAAAACCACTTTTTTCATATCATTACTCGGTTCAGCATTTGGATTATTCATTTTTTCTACGTATTTATACTTCCTTCATCATGGTTATGGCCTATCAAAATGCACGTGGCTTCCTGTTGTGTGTCTCTCTTTTGTCATGTTCATATCTACCGCTGGAATTTTGGCATTAGTCCATACGTGTATCGTGGAAAACTTTCCACCAAAGGTGAATGTATCCTGTTTATTCGAACAAAATTCAATTGCCACTGTAAAATCATACAATATTTTCCATAGATTCGTCCGGCTGGCATGGTCTTCTACTCAATGATAAATGGCTTAGTTACATTCATTGTGGGGAAATCGTTTCCAATTTTGCTGGAAGTAATTCATTTACACGGATTCATGTTTCTTCTTGCTGTCAACTGTAGCTTTGGTTTAATTTTTGTGGCTTTTATGAAGGAAACCAAGGGAACATCGCTAGATAACATACCGGAAAATTTATGAATCTATTAAAGTCGAAATAAAATTGGTTGAAAACGTAAAAAAAATTGAGTAAAAACTGCACTAGAATTTCGGATTTTTTATACGATTTCGATATTGTCACTTCAATGAACGATTTGTGATTAAACCAAATTCAGAACGCTTGCTTGCAAAAAGCGTGAGATTTTTATTTATTTCAAGATTTGGGTTTTATTTATAGAATTTTAAAAGCAACACAATCAAATGTCTAGCCAATACATGGCAAGTCAGAATTTTACATCGAACATTTTCTTTTCAGACACTTTGCACACATTTACGTTGCTAATGTTATTGCTTAATGCGTTGTTTGAATACATTGAGCTATTTCAGTATGTTATCAACAATGTCGCTGTGCTATTTTTACATTCCTTCAATCATTCACACACTTTTATTTAGCAAAATGAACACAAACAAAACAAAACGTAGACATTGATTGCAAAGTTGGATCCACAGTCACATACTAAGTGCGACACGCTTTCTTAGCGGTAATCAGTCGCACCATGTGCAAATTGTGTTTGTAAAATCCCTACTTGGGAAGTAACTTTTTTTTTAAACAATCCGATCAGATGAAAATATGAGAGATCATTTTCGGACGCATTCAATTTTCTATTATTTTCTATCGTTGTGTTATTGTCATTAATAGAAAATTTTCAAAATATCGAATTATAAGATGTTCCACGTGCCATTCATCGAATAAAAGTGAGTGCAAATCAGATAGACTGACTCTCTTTTCTCTATAGAATCGAACTAGCTCTTGTATATAATTTGTTCATTGGCAAAGATGGAGAAAAATACAAATTTTCAGTGGAAAAATCCACGGAATCAATATTATGCCGTCATTGCAGGTATTTAAAATTACATTTCTTAACTTACATTTATCAATTAAAGTGCAAGAAAAATATACATTCATTTATTCTTTTTCAATTCAGCAAATCTGATATTGCTTAGTCAAGGATGTTTAATGGGCTGGGTAAATTAAATATTTCATGGAATCTATTGACCAAAAGCTATAAAATAATAAAAAAAAATTGTTGGTTATAAGATTTCGCCAGCTATACCAAAGTTAACATCAGAAAGCACCCCGCTCACTTCTGGCCTATTAACAACTCAACAGGTTTCGGCTAAGTTTGAATAACCATTTTTGGCAAATTTCTAGATGATTTTGTCATTTAAAAAAGTTTTTTTTTTTAAATTCAGACGAATTTTTCAGAAGAAATGACAATTTTTAGGCGAATTTGTCATTTTTTTCAGACGATTTTGTTTTATTCGAAATCATATTTAACCCACAGGTTTCATGGATTGGTTCAATTAGCTGTATTGGAGTTTTAGTTGGTTCGTTATCATTTGGATATTTCACATCATTTATGGGTTGTAAACGTGCCATGCTTTTTTTGACTGTTCCATCGATTGGCGCTTGGCTCTTAATTTATTTTGGTCAGACATTTGATCACATTTTACTGTCACGTGCACTGTCTGGATGGTCTACGGGTGGGATAACGACCACTATAATCCTATTCGTATCTGAAATTGCCAATAATGAGTAAATACTTAGCCTTCGATCACGGCTGATACTTTTTACTTACTCACATATTAATGTGAATTATGACCATTTTTTACGTTTGAATTGAATGCAAGATTGAATGTGCTATTTTTTCCTTTTTCAGCATCCGCGGTAGGCTTGGAGGTATTTCACATTTCATGCGTAATATTGGCATTTTAATTGGTTATACTTTGGGAGCAACCCTTGAATACCATATTATTCCTTGCATTTGCATTTTTATGCCGATAATTTATGCCATTAGCTTTGCTGCCTTACCAAATACACCACGATACTATTTACAAAGAGGACAGACTAAGGTACAGTAAACAAAGCCTATTTTTCATCACTAAATTGTTAGAATGCGTTACATTATTTCATACATAATTCTGAGCAGCTGAATTGCTTTTCCATTCAAATTTGAATTGCATGAACCTCACAGTCATTGTCTTGTCTTGGAAATTTAATTGAAGAAATGGTATTAAAGAATGAAGTTGTTTGAATAAATGTACATTTGCCTTTGCAGAAGGCTGAAGATGCTTTAAAATACTACAAAGGTTATAGGGGAGAGAGTGTTGAAGAAAATATTGCTCTATATGATGAGCTAGAGCGATTGAATCGAATTGTAAATGAACGAAAATCGGACGAAAAATTGCAGGCATCCGATATTTGTAAGAATTTGTCCATTTTATTTTTAAAGTGAATGAATTCTTAGTGGTAATGGATAATTTTGAAAACCAAAGTTAATCGTGCGGTGATGAAAGGATTGGGCATTGGCATTTCTCTGGCAATACTCGCACAGCTCACGGCGAATTTCCCATTGGTGACCTATGCAGTTACAATTCTCAAAAAGTCGGGAACTTCTTTCAACCCATACGCATCGTCAATAGTATTGGCTGTGATGCTCATCCTTGGTTCATCGGTTAACACTTATTTAGCTGATATCTTTGGTCGAAAACGATTGAATTTCATTTCCTTGACGGGGTCAGCCGTTGGACAACTAGCCACATCACTCTATCACTATCTCTATATAAGCGGTTATGATTTATCACTATTCTCTTGGGTACCAGTTGTCAGTTTGTCTTTCGTCATTTTCATTTTGGCGGCTGGCATTTTACCTCTTCAACTCATTTGCGTTGTCGAATACCTCCCACCGAAGGTTTGGCATATTTAAAAAACTGCAGTCCTTTTTTTATTTTCTTTCACTTCTTCGCAGACTCGAACACTTACCATGTCATTAATAAGCTCCGCCATCGGCATGTGTGCATTTATATCAGTGAAACTGTTTCCCATCTTACTGGAACTACTTGATCTACATGGCAGTATGCTGATTTATGGTTGTGGTTGTAGTATCGGAGCGATCTACGTGCTTCTTGTTCTGAAGGAAACTAGTGGAAAGTCACTTGACGATGTAGGTAAAAGTAAGAA